AGAGGATTCGAACGCGGTTTTTTTCCATAAAATGTATCAATAGATGCTCGTGTCGTTGATGTTATTCCTATATCTCTCCGCTGCAAGCTTCTGTATTTAGTGGCAGTTCCATATTTAGTGGCAGTTCTAATACGCTAGTGTCGGTGAATTGCTTTGTTCGTGGCTCGTCGATGGGAGACTTTCGAAATCGAATATACAGGCTCAAGAGCAACCACGATGAAAAAAGATCGATTCTATACTTCGTTCTTTCTCCATTCTCTCTTCTCTTCGTCCTTTTATCAAGATATTATCCTCGTCGCAGATATTTTCTCAGAATCAGTAAGAAATTTTCTCGACTGCGGACTTGTTCGTCACACCGATATTGTGCGAATTTCTTCGCTTACTATCCACGCTGCTGGCAGTGTGTTTGGCTGTGTCGTTCTGTGAAACAGTCGAGCCAACGATAAGAAAGGAGAATGAAAACGCGGCAATAGACACGAGCCCCTGGCCCTCTTTCCTTTCATCGATGGATTCATTAAAAAAAATTTCGATTCGCGGTATTCCCCTTTGAAATTTCATACAAGGTCGATAGAAACCGCGTAATGGACGGTAAGAGATTAACGAACGCTTTCCTTCGCCTGGGGGCTCTTTTGTGTTCCGGTCTCTTCCTTAATTACCTGAGCTGTAGGTAGAAGTTATTCGCGTCGATAGTTCGAAACAATGGCTACCTTAAGTCCTAAAGTTCCCTTCTCGATGGAAAATCTTCGAGAAACGTTTCACGGGATTGTCAGAAGCTAGCCCTTCCGTTAACTTTCGATAGTTAATTTTTAACGTGATACAGATATACTCTGATATTTTTTTTTTTTTTTTTTTTGGTACTTTCCATTCTTTTAATTTACTTCCTTGTTTCTCATCTATCCGATCTTCACCTTAATTATCTGAACGAAAGAATGGAAGTTATTCTCATCAACGACTCGATATTCATTTTACAATTATAACTTTATATAGTTGTGTAATTAATTTTCAAACTGGATACTCTGCCAACTTCCTTTTTCCTTTTTCAATTCACCTCGTTACTGCTTCATCTCGAGTCGCATACTCTCAAATGGTTCTTCTTCGAAGATTACGGGATTTGCGAGAGAACATTGCACGGCGAGTAACGAGCCAGACAAGTCGGTATCAACCAGCGATTTTCTAATCTCATGTATCGCAACCCCACCGGTGTGACCTGCAATCACCCCTTCGAATCGAGTCACCTGCTTAAACGGTAAATATTGCATGACGCACAGAAAAATGGCTGTTGGTGGTTCATCAGACTGTTTTCGTTTCGCTGAAAGATGATCGATGCGAGTGTCATTGTCCATGGAAATACATGGTTTAGTAATGACGAAGTCACGTTCGGTTACTCTCTGCTCTGACATGTTTTGTAAAACTCGTACGGTGCTTGATCATTTCGTCACATTTCGGCGGGGATTGTAAAAGTGTACGCGCGAACAAAACGATTTCAATTCGTTCGCGTTTTGTCAGCAACGTGACATTTTAAATTTAACAGATATCTCTGCTTTTCGATATCTACAAACAGCAAATAAATGTATCAAATGAATTTCCTAATATTTTTCTAAACGTCGAAAATCGTCGAGGGGACCGACGACGTATAATTTCTTTGTAGAACAACGACTCACTATCTGATAGTTTTTTTTTTTTTTTTTTACTGATAATAATAGAATTCAGCAGTTGTTGCAATTTCATGTAAATATCTTTACGAATGTTTAGAACGAAAGCTAAGGAAAAATATGGACAGAAATTTCTCATAAATCAAACATTCGCGGTCTAACGATAATACGTAATTGGGAAATTATTTCTCGGTGCTCATCGTCGAAATGGCAAAAACTAATTTGCTTGTGAATCGAACGAAGCGCATCTGCCCGGAATTATATTTTGGACAATGGGGTCACGAAAGTTTCTCGAACACATCGCCACGTATACACACGTTTCTCGCGTGTAATTAGCCCGGCGTGTCTACTTCCGAGTCGAATCGGTGGGAGAGTTCCTAAAACCATTTCCGGCCGGAGCACCTTTTTATTCTGGCCGTCCCACGCATGACGGCGCAGGAGGGAAGTGGCGATCAAACGTAGAAAGGACAGACTTTACTGACCCCCCTCGAAGCGTTCTTCGAGGCAGGTACGATCGCAGACGTTATCGAGCTTGAGACCATATGTCACCCTTTCGAACCCCCTCTCCACCACCTAAGATAATTGCCCGGGAACAGTATCTCGGAAGTGAAGTTTTTTCTTTTATGAAAAAAATACGGTTAGCTGGTAGTACGTTACGTACGTTAATCGTTTCGAAGCAGAAGATTCTCCGGTATCTACACAGGAAATTTTTTGAGTTCCAAGAAATAATAGAAAATTACTTTTGAGATGACACGATAGGAGAACCAATTGAATTTATTAAATCATAGGAAAATAATCGAGCTTTCCAAATATAAGACAGACGTATATTGATGAAATATCGAAAGCAATCAAAGTTCGCAAAAAGTAGGTAGAACACGCTCCCTGCAATTCATCGCGAAACATTGTAATTACCTACAAGTTTCATTTCTATAGCTTCGACACTAATTTACATTTAATGTTACATACATCGTAAATAAATCGGCTAGATTTTTCTGAACAGACAATTAAAAGATACGCAAAAAAGAAAAAAAAAAAAAAACAAAAAAAGAAAGAAGACGAGAAATCGTAGAATACGTTCGCGCTAGAACCAACCCCCTGCTGGCAGCACAAGTGGCAAGTTCTAATTCAATTTTCATTCGGGTTCTCGGCTGCGAGTCCTTTGTATCGATTCGACGGGATAAACAGAAACGGCGGGATAATCGTTATTCAATTAGATGCATCGGCGAGGCGAGCGAATAATCGATGAATTCTAAGCTGTTGACTTCCCACCCTCTTCCTTGCGCGATCGCGCGAACACAGCGAGGCAAACGAGCGCGTACGCGATTCGAGTTTCTCCTCGTTCCTCGCCGGTCGCCGGGGGAGAGAAAAAAAGGTACAACGATCCCGTGCTTCCACCAATTCGCCGCTTTTGCCACGTGTTGCTATATACAAGCTGTTCCTCTCTTTCAGCTCCTTCTTGTTGCTTCGCGAGCCTCGCGCGTATATATACGTCCGCGTCTCTCTCTTCGTCGATAACACAGAGGGGTGGAGGGAGGGAGGGAGGGAAGGGGGGGGGGAGGAAGAGGGAGCAGCGAGTGCTCGTGTCCTCGAACGCAGGCGGCTCGTGCGTAGGCAAACTATGGAATATGTCAGCCTATTGAGCGCAGGTGCTTTAAGCTGCTCAGCTGTTGCTTCGAATCTCATGCACATTCACGCGAGCCAGTATCACGTTGATATTGGTGCACGCTAAGCAGTGTGCACCGTATATCGGCCGTCCGCGTGCGTGCAAACGCTGAACCGACTCACGTGTTCCACCCACGCACTTATGCGTATCGGCAATTGAATGGTGAAACGATCGGGGCCCTCGCCCGCGAGCAGCCCTGTCGTCGCTCAATGAATTCGTTGAACACCGGCCCGTCGATTATCGTCCATCGTCGTTCCGAAGTCGTTCCCTGAGAACGATGTCGTGGAAGTAATTTATCCTCGTTCCCAGCGAAGGATGTTCGCGTGAAAATTTCGTCACGTGTAATTTGTCTCTCCATCTGTCGATGCTTAGTTCTCCCCGAGTATGTGCTTCCTTCTTTCGTCGAGGTATATTATATCTTTTTTTTTTTTTTTTCCAACGAGTGATGATTTTGTGAAATCTTTACACAGCGGTGGAAAGTTTAGAAAATTAACAAAGGGTATTCGTTGGTGTGTTCGTTGACTGAATGACTATGTAAAGTCACAAGAACGAATAGCTTGAAATTTATATATCGAAGAATACGTAAAATATAGCTATCTACGAAGCTATAGAAAAGCTAATTAGGTTTAGAAAGAAAGTTAAATGTCTCAACTGCGAAATGAATAATTACAAATAATGATAAATAACATATGTTCCCCGAATGTATTTAACTGAAACAGGTAGTGCATCCGGCCTGTGATAGGAGGACCACCGTCAATTACTATATTGCGCATCTTCCTCTCGAACTATCGATCAACGGACAGCGTGTAATTGAAAGAAAAAGTCGAACTGGCCACGTTCTGAATAAGAAATTCAACGCAAGTAATTTTCTTATGGCCTCTCCTCGGTCATCCTCGTCTTCAACAAATCCTGGAGTTCGCTGTACTTGCAGCTTTTTGTCGCTAGAACTCCCGGCAAAAGACTTCGGCCAAAGTTAAACCACACGGTTCGCGGCTGCCGTCCTATTCCTCGTCTTGTCGTCATGATCGATTACTAGTATTTTTAACTGGTGACACTTGCTATTCTACCCGCGCATTCTACCCCCACATTCTCCCATAGCTGCGTGACGTGATCGTGCAATGAACCGACGTACTTCCCTCCAAATACACGATATTCCTGTTTTAAGGAGCAGAAATTTACTGTCTCCACGCGAGATTTCCCCGATGTTATCCAACACTTTTCTTACCAACAAAATTTTACTCGTCGTTACAGTTCACACTTTTATTTCTTTATTTATAATATAATATGTTAGATTAGAAATTAAATCTTTTCTCCACGGAATTGACAATCCTCACGTTTACAAAGAATCCATTCTTCTCTTGTAATTAAGTCAGTCTATATCGGTGGATGAAAGACGCGTATGTACACAGACGTACTGACATACGAACGTGTGCATGTACGATTGTGCCGTTGATTCAGTGTCAGACGCTTTTACCTACGGAAGTCGGCGAGCTTCTATATACGGACAGCGTTTAAAATAAAATACGATCACACGATCGTAACTTTTCCAAGTGTGGAGTATCGATCGCGTATCGCTACGTAAAGTAAGTTACGCGGAGCGCGATCACGTAGCATAGACGATGTTCTTTTTAGGGGTCAGACAGAATAACGTGAACACCCGTTGTGTGTTTCTGTTGCAGACGAATAAGAAGAATCGCGGGAAGGAAAATCGAGACGAGGGAGCGAGGGGCACCTAGCCCTTTGGCGAGCTCGAAGGATGCAGCTCCCAGGCGGGAGCACGAGAATTCCGCCCGCGAGAGCACCGGCCTCAGTTCTCGTGATCATCAACGGAAGCAACATCCTATCGACTGTCACGAAGAAACGCAACGGCAACGGTAGACCCAGTAACGAAAACAACGGACCTGGTACGAATAGCAGCGACAGCGTCTTGAGGAAAAGTAGAAACAGCCCCGAGAACGAGCCGCGCCTCCTTGAGAGAAATCGTCGTCCCGAGACGAGGACACCGAGCAGCCGCCGACACCGAGTCACCGAGAAGCCCCAGCTGTTGGCGTCAGCCCCAAGGCGGAAGGAGCGGGGCGAGGAATAGTGAAAAGAAAGTAGAGAAAAACCGAGAAACGACGGAAGAAGAGGAAGAGGAGGCGCGAGAGAAGGAGAAAAAGGTGAAGAGGAGGAAGCAAGAGTTCGTCGGGAAGGAGAAGGGTGCCGACGTCGTCGTCGTCGGCGGCGGCGGCGGAGGAGGAGGAGGAGGAGGAGGCGGAGGCGGAGGAGGAGGAGGAGGAGGAAGAAGAGGAGGAAGAAGAGGAGGAGAAGGAGGAGGAGGAGGAGGAGAAGGAGGAGAAGGCAGCAGCAGCAGCAGCAGCAGCAGCAGCAGCAGCAGCGGCGGCGGCGGCGGCGGCGGCGGCAGAGAAACAGGAGGAGCAGGAGGAGAAAGAAGAAGAGGAGGCGGCGGCGGCGGCGGCGGCGGCGGCGCGACGGAGGAGAAAGAGGTGGAGGAGGAAAAGGAAGAGAAGGAGAAGGAGACGGCAAAGACGAAGAAAGTGGAGAGGGGAGACTGCCGGTGTTCAGAGTGGGGAGGACAAGGTGGTAGAAGGAACGAGGAGAAAAGACGGCTGTGGTAGGGGAAACGACGAGAGTAGAGTAGAGAAGCAGAGGAAGCGCGCTGAGCCACGAGGGGCTATTCGAGCGAGAAGGGGAGGGGTGACAAGGAACCCTGGCGGGGAGGGGACGCGGAGGCCTTCGGGGGGCCGACCAACCAGACGGCCGATGATGTCATCGGGGGAGGAGACCGAGTATTTCGCCCCCTACGGAGCAACTACGGAAAGCAAGCAACAGCGACTCCAGAAGAAGCAGAAGCGCACCAGACAGCGCGTGGACGCCGGCGAGCCGCGCAACAACTACTCGAGTATACCGCACTTCACCTCCCGGCCATCCTTCCACGGCGGTGGTCTGTACGGTTCTATCTTTGGTGGCAGTGGACCAACGCACCAGCAACAGCAGCAGCAACAACAACAACAACAACAGTCGCAACAACATCATCAGTCGCAAGCACAACAACAACAACAGCACCAGCAGCAACAACAACAACAGCAACAACAACAGCTCCAGCAGCAACAAGCTGGAGCAGCAAGCAGTCAAGGTCATTTGAATACAGCTACGACGGGTCCTAGCACTCAGCAGCATTCCGCCCACGCGGCTTTCGGCTTTTTCGGGGCACCGGGTTACGGCCCCGCCAAAATGTTGAACGAGCTACTCGGACGACAGGTCAAACAGGCCAGTGACGCCGGTGGCTCACCGCCAGAGGGCGGCCACGGGATGACTGGTGCCGGCATGGACCCCGCTGCCAATTTGCAATCCGGTGCTGTAGTTAATTGCGACGATCCCGCCACCGCCGAGCTCACGCAGCACATGCTTCGCGATATACTCCAAGGGCGCAAAATCTCCGCGCTTTCGCTGCAGGAACAACCCAACAACAACAACAGTATACACAGTAACAACAACAACACCACAGCGGATCTACTTAAATCTCAGCAACAGCATCATCAGAGCCCTCAACAGCATCAACAGCAAAATAGTGATAGTGCACGTAGTGGAACAGTGCAAAGTGGTGGAGAGGAGAGTGGTGATGGAAATAACGTCGTGAATAACGCGAATCACAGTGATCGTGATACGGTGATGCCGGGCGATGCGGAGGACAGCGCCGAGGACGCAGCCGCAGCTGCACGTGCTATGGAGGAAGCGTTCGCCGAAGCTGGTATGGAGCCTGGAGCCAATCTCGACGGATCCGACTGCGAACAGAGTTTACCGCCCAGTCCCACGCAACCAAGGTCAGGGTCCGTTTCCGTCAAGGAGGAGATACAGGACTCGTTGAATATCAAACGCAGTCCGAGTCACTCTCCTTGCCCGATCGTGCCCAAAACGGAGACCAGCTCGCCGACCACGGAAACGAAGCGCGCGCGTGTCGAGAATATCGTCAACACGATGCGCAGCAGTCCAGCGCTTCAAACTGCCACGGTGAACGGTTGCAAGAAACGTAAACTCTACCAGCCGCAGCAGCAAACAGTGCATCACGTTCTCCAGCACGTTACAGGTGTCAACGATACCATGATGGACGACGAGGAGGAGAGCGAGGAGGAGGAGGATCCCTCGGCCATCAGGCAGAAACGCGAGGAAAAGGACAACCTTCAGACACAGCTGAAGAAGCTGCACGAACAATTGGCCGTGATGCAGCGAAAGTACAATGAGCTTACGAGTAGAATCGATTCGGACGCGAGCGAGAGCATCGGTGCTCCCCTAAGTCCTCAGCCACCGCTCAAACCACCGCAACCTCATCCACCGCCGTACAACGGACTTCCGGCCCTCCCGACCGAACACCCACACGCCGCGGCAGCCGCTATGTATCACATGGGACAGAAACTCTACCTCGAACAGCAACAAGCTGCTCTCGAGAGGATGAAGCAGCACCAGGAGGCTGCTGTCAGGCAACAGCAGCAGCAGCAGCAGCAGCAGCAACAGCAGCAGCAACAGCAGCAGCAACAACAACAGCAGCAGCAACATCAACGACAAAGTTCTCCGCCACCCCCTCCGAGTCAAGCGCAGCAACAGAGTCAAAGCAATACCGGCCCGTCCACGCCGCAAACACCACAGATGCAGCCAGCGAGCACGCCTCTTCAGCACAAAGAATTCCAAGAAAGGATAAACGTGTTCAGAGGCGCCGCGGCCGTGGCTAGCTCGTCGGGTCCTCATATAACCGACGAAGATCTGCAAAGTTTGTCGGACACATTGAAAGCGGAGATCACCTCGTACTTGACGAATCTGATCGACAAGGTAGTAACAAGGTTCATGCAACAGAGGAGGTACCTAGGAAAACAGAGCGAGGCAGCGCAAGTCGCTGCCGAACAACTGAACAAGGATCTTCTGTTGGCGAGCCAGATACTCGAGAGGAAATCACCGAGGACGAAAGTAGTAGACAGAGGAGCGCCACAACCACCCGGTGGCCCAAACGGGCCACGGGGGCCCCACAATGGCGGGCCCCCACCTCCACAGTCTACGGGTTTCCCACCAATCGGGTCCATGGGTGGTGGGCCCCATGGTCCTCATTCTGGCCCCACGGAAAACAACCTTAATCAAATGAATCAGCTGCCCTCACACGTGAGGTCCGGTAGCAGGATGTTTCAGACGCCGAAACCCCCGACCATGTACAGCATGGCCTCTATGCAGGCGCAACAACAACAACAGCAACAACATCAGCAGCAGCAACGCGAGCATCAACAGAGAGAGCAGCAACAACGCGACCAATATTGCAACTTGAGGAACGACGAGAGAGAAAGCAGGGACTCGGAACAGAACGAGGCACTATCCCTCGTTATGACACCGAAGAAGAAACGTCATAAGGTAATTATCTACTTTCTATCTTTGATCGAAATACCAATATATATACCAATATATATATATATATCGATAGATGGTCGTTCGTACCAAGCAAATTCACTTGTTGCATTTCTTGATAAAAGAAAGTCGAGTCGAGCTTTGATTCGTTTAGTCGATCGTATCGATCCTTGTTGGAATCGAATTTAATTAAATAGAGACACAATGCATCGATAAGAATATTTCACATTTGACGTTGGACCATTTTATACTGGTTCACTCGATTTCAAACTCTGGCGAATATTTGAAATTATAATTTACAGCTTTTGTTATTTATAACAATGTGGATTGTTTCATATTGAGTAAAATCCATTTATAAAACGATAAATATCTCAAATTTCTAATCAGTATCAACGCTTTCACTCACTCCTCCACTGTACTTGATTTTAAGTAGTACAAGTAAATAATTTCAGCCACAAACGTTTCAAATTCATTATTTGTAACGTTATAAAAACTTCAGCCTCAAAAGATTTGACGAATATTGCAAATTTATAACTGATATCGATACTTTTGTTTATCAGCTTATACTCGGCATGCTACCATACACTTGGTTGCAAGTAGTATAAGTAAATAATTTCACCGACGTGTATTTCAAATTCATTAACTGTAACGTAAACTTTATTCGCCAGTAAAGATGCGTGCTCGTCAGTATCGAGCAGAATAAAAAGATGAATTTCTCTGGTAAATATACGAAATTTATAGTTAACAAATGCATTTTGTTCATTTATATCGTCGAATGCTTGATACGAAGTAGAATAAGACTCTGAACGTCGAATTGCCGTAATTTCCAATTTATATTTCGTATATTTATCGATGCATTGTATATTAGATATTAAGTATAGTAACGTAAGAAAGTAAATTTCACTGACGAATATTCCCAGTTCACAATTTGCGACACTACCCTTGTTCATCCTACATCAAGTATGACATGATATTTACATACTTAAAATAGACGTAATTGTTACCGCTATTGGTCAGTGAATATTTACCAATAGACGACGGATTTTTATGCTTACTTGAATGTTTAAAAGCACACGCAACGTGTAAAAAGTAGAGAAAAGAAAAGGCATAAAGGTCCAGTCGATCTATTGATTAGTGTTAAGTAGGCTAAGAGACTGAATTGCACAATGGTAAAGTCGAGGTATCAATTAGTATTTCCCTTCGCAGGTGACGGACACGAGGCTGACGCCGAGGACGGTATCGAGAATCCTGGCGCAGGAGGGTGGCGGCTCGCAAGGCGGCAGCGAGAGTCCACCGCCTCCACCACCACCGAGATCGTATCATCCGCCACCGCCGATGCTGCCAGTGTCCCTGCCAACCAGCGTTGCGATACCGAACCCGAGTCTTCACGAAAGCCAAGTGTTCTCGCCGTATTCGCCGTTCTTCAACCCTCACGCGGGTCATCCGGGCCAAGTACCACCACCGGGGCCGCATCACTTGCCAGCAAGTCCTCCTGGTGGAGGTGTAGACGTCAGGGACTCGCCTCCACTGCCCCATCCGCCATCCATACTGCATCCTGCCTTATTGGCGGCTGCCCAGCATGGCAGTCCAGACTACGGACATCTCAGGATGGACAGCAACGAGCGGCCCAACGACTGTAACTCCGACGACATCAGCTACGACGGGATTCAGCCTACAATATCCTTTTCTAATACAACGTTCGAGGTCGCGAAAAAGAAAGACCGAAAAAGAAAAGAAGGGAAAAAAACAGACAAAAAAAAAAGAGAAGAAAGACGAGAGTAGAACGGTAGACGAGAGAGTTGGAGAACGTCCAGAACGACGTGGCCCGAAACACGAGGGGCGCGCGCC